CCCCACCGGGCGGGCGCACCTGCTGCCCCGGGAACTGGCCCCCGCCCCCCCACTGCTGCTGCTGCTGCGGCGCCTGGGCCCAGGGCTGGGAGGGAGGCCACACCAGCGGGCAGCTGGCACTCGTGTAGCCCTGCGGGGGACCCGGCGCGGGGGGACCCTGTGGGGGCGCGGGGCTGTCCAGGAGGGGGTGCAGGGCGCCAGTCAGCAGGTCCAGGCCTCCCCCAGGGGGGCCAGGAGGACTCCCATCACCCACAGACATCACCCAGCAGCGCTGCGGGGAAGAGGAGGGGGCAGATCAGCCACAGACACACTTAATACCCCCCAAACCTGGGGTATCAACGGACACAGGGGACACCCCACACCAACAGGCTGGGGTGAACCAAGTCTCCAGTGTCATAGGGGACCCAAAGCACAAAGACAAGCCAAGCCTTCTTTACACAGAGAGAGGTGGGGGTGTGGAACAAGCAGCCCAGCCATGCTGGTGAAGTCAATAGCCCCGTCTTTCATTGACAGGACTGGATGAGATCCTGGGATCAATTGCCTACCAAACCCCAACCAAGGCCAGGTGAGACAAAGGGCCTCCTTACTCACCCATTTCACTGGTCCAGGGGGACAAAGCTACCCGACTTCAACAGCATCGTCATGCGTGCAGAAGAGTGGGAAAAGTTACAGGTACGATTGGGGCAGCGGTGAGGAGCCAGGGCAGGGCAGGGCAGGGCAGGGCAGTTACTGCATCACAAGAGTGCCCCCTTGTGGGGCTGTGGGGGGGAAATTCACACACTGTTGTAGAAGAGCTTAATTAACCCCCAGACCAGTTACAGCCACACCTGGACACAGAGGATGAGCAACCCTTCAATAAGCATACTGCACTAAATGACACGATGAGCGTGTTTAAGTTTCATCCAAGACTAACTCATCTTAGAATTACAAATAATTCCTTCCACTTCTGTAGCACTTTACAGGTAATGAGGACTCCCCTCCAACCCTACCAGTGTGCAGCCCCACCCAGATGATGCAACAGCAGCTGCAGTGCACCAGTACACTCCCCACACACCAGCTCTCAGTGGGGAGGAGAACAGAGCAGTGCAGATTAGGAGGACTGAGTGATAAAGGCCCATAACAGGAATTTTAGCCAGGACACCAGAGTCACGCCCCTGCTCTTTTCCAGAGAGTCATGACCCTGGGTTTCCATCTCATCTGAAGGATGGGACCTTTTTTACAGTATAGTATCCCCATTACTGTACTGGGGCATTAGGACCCACACAGACCACAGGGTGAGCACCCCCTGCTGGCCACACTAACACCTCTTCCAGCAGCAACCTTAGCTTTCCCAGGAGGTCTCCCATCCACCTGTCGGCAAACCCTGCCTTTGGCGCTAGGTGTTGTCCCGCCTCCATCACCGGAGAGCCCCGCCCATACCACACACTGTACAAGCGCTACACGACGAGACCGCTGTGGACAGGCCAGTACTGCGCCACACGGCAGGAGCTCACCCCACTCGCCGCCGCGACCGGAGACAAGTCACGGGATTTCCACAGAGTGGGGGCCGAGCAAAACAGCACGTAAAAAAAACAATGTCACACTTTTTAAAAAAAAATCCTCTAACACTTCTTTGAGTTTTTTTTTAACAAAACAAAAACAGGGGAGTCAAAAAACAAAAGACTGGCTGTTTCACTAAGGAAAACCACAGCTGAGGCAGGACGGACTCGTCCCGTCTGGCAGCGGCGAACCGCGGACAGCGCACCCCAGCTCGGCTAGCGTCCCGAATCTCTCCCGGCTCTCGGCGTCCCTCCGTGCCCGTGCGGCTCGCGTGTAGCCGCCCTCCCCTCCTCGCTCTTTTATTGAGCCGGCAGGCGGCTGGGCGGGAGTTTCAATCTCTTCCAGGAAATCTCGCGTCCCCGCCCCCGCAGACCTCCCGTGATCCCTTCTCGATTTGCGCACACGGAGGATCTGATTCAACGTCACGGCGACAAGGAGGGCGGCTGATTCCGGACACCCACCACTCTTTGCGTACAGACCCCCTTCCACCGCTCTCCCCCCAGATACCATTTCTGCAGGCTGTGTCCCAGCCGGCCACAGGATCACAGTGCTGCACAATGTCCTATTCGCTCATGTCCGGTTTTTCACAGATCCTCGCCCGCAAACCCAATGTCAGTTGGTTTATTTTTCCGGAAAACCGAGACTCGCATCCTTAGGTGTCTTCTAATGAGGTACCGGCGAACCGAATGAACTGCACTGCTGCCTTTTCCGAAATGAATGTGGGCTTAGTTTGGACGTTTTACGGTAATAAGAAACTGGGCGGAGGCGTGGCTGCAGGACCCCCGAGGGGCAAAGGGGCTGAAACCAGGAAGCGACTGTTCAGCCCAGGGTGTTCACACTGTGCAGACACGTGGTGCTTAGTGTACATCAGTGTGGATATATTTCTGCTTTACAAAGGTGGTTACTGAAGATCGGGGATCAGTGCTTGTTTGCGTAAATCACATATTAAATAAGTTAAATGTTTAACACCTGGGTTACTACTGCTTAATACAACACACTTGTCATACCTGGGCTACGACCTGGCTGAAGTGTGTAACACATTTTTGCTGTGTTTACAAGTATTATTGCTGGAGGAAGTGCTGCCTCTGTCTTTCCCAGGCTTGATTATTGCAGTGCAGATGGGTGGATACTGAAAGACACTGGGACACTCAGAATGACCTGGGAGACTGGGAGACCCTGGGACACTCTGGGAGACACTGGGATACCCAGAATAACCTGGGAGACACTGG